CCCACACACACACACACACACACATTTCCCCGACCTGCGCAACATGCATAAGCAGACGCGCACTGACGGAGGACCAAGTTTCGTTCTAAATGAGCATCATGCTCCTTGCACTACTTTCGAGAGGGACGCCTGAGAGAGATCATACAATGAGCCGAATCCTTGACTCAAGGCAATCTCCCGCTCTCTCTCTCTCTCTCGCGCGCGCGCGCGTCATTGATAGCTACCAAGATGTAATCGATAAACACCCATCGATCGATCCACCAGAGTTCAAGCTGCCTCCATGCTTTTTCCCTATCTACCACCCGTACCGTCTTCTGGAAGCGTCGTTTCCATCGCCCAGCGGTGACATCTTCCCAAGTCTTGATATTCTCTCCTTGCTCTCCATTGTCTTCTCCCCATCCGTCTTCTTTTTTCCACTCTCGCCATCGGTGACATCCTTGCACCACGATCAGGATACGACCACGGCACTCAAGAACAGACCTAAGTCCCAAGTAACAGCGAGAACGGACCACGCGGAAGCATCAATCAACGAAAGCAAGAGCGAAGTTTTTTCACAAACGACTACCCACGTTGCACCCATGCATATAAGACACAGCAGCAGCTGCTTTTTCATCTGCAGCCAGTGTTCCTCTCCCGCTCTCACTCAACCCAGCAGGATCAGGATGCAATCCTGCGACCACCACCCACTAACGACTCCCAACGTGGCACCCACTGACGCCCCTCTCGCGCCTCAACGCTTCCCCGCAAACTCTGCAACCCACCAGGATTCGAAGCCGCGCCCACTGACTAAATTCCCGATGCATACTCTTAGCAAATCTTGGTACCGTAAAACCGCTAATTTGCATTCCACTTCACCAAGAAGAGGCCACAAGAAGCCTCCACCCTTCTCTTCCTACAGTAGCACATCCTGGCGTCTGGAACAAGTGCCGGACCCGCGACGACTTCCTATAGAAAACGACAGAGGAAGACGCCACAAGAAGCCTACACCCTTTACGGTGAGAGAACGTAGGCGATTGGCAAGGAAGAGACCGTCAAGAACCCCCTATAAAAAACGACAACGACGGAAACAAACGCCACCAAGAGAGAGTGGAGAGCAGCTGAGAGACAAGCTCGGGATAGCGAGAAAAGAAGAGAAAGAGAAGGGATAGCGAGAGAGAGAAAAAAAGAGAAGAAGAGTGTGCCCACTGGCCGAGCCTCCGGCTGAAACAGGATTAGTGACCTCGTCGTGTCACCGGGACCGCAGCTAGTGATAGTAAGCGACCGTAACGACTATTCACACACAAGAATGAGAATGGGAAAAAGAGGGGGGGGAGGGAGGAGACAAGGAGGAAAGGAGGACAAGGAGAGGCTGCACGGAGGGGAGGGGAAAAGGATAGCGAAAGAAACGCGAGACAGCAGAGGACAGCAGAGGACAGCAGAGGACAGCAGAGGACAGCAGAGGAGGAAAGAAAGGACGGAGGGTAAATAAAGGTGCGAGAGAGTCGTTGGCGATACGCACAAGCCAAAAAAACACTGTCAGAGGTCGTAGAAGATTCGCATTCGCCCGCGCGCGGACGAGCTCTCAGTTTCTTTACTTGTAAATAGTAAAAAAAATCGTACAAAGCAAGCAAGCGGGAGAGGGCTCCTGCTCTTTTACTTAGGGAGACAGACAGCCCGATCGTTTGTCCATCTTCATCACGGAAAGCGAACACGGGCAAACGAAGCCAGACGCTCCCAACAACTCTACATTTACATCTTTCCCAAGGGGTGAATGATAAAATGACAAACTAGAAAATTTTGGATTCCTACAGTCTCACATTCAGCATTATAACATGAAAAGGGGGTGGTTTTGGGGGGGGGGAAGGGGGGGGAAAGGGAGTCTCTTTCGTTCATGATATACTAAACAACAGAACGCGAGGACGAGTTCACATCACTCGCAGCCTCTCCACAACCTCTCTCCAAATCAATCGCACCTTGCAGCAATTCATAGTCTCCGCACTCTTCCCTCCAATCTTCGCAGACGGGACACACAAGGCGCGCCGAGCCGACAAAAACATAATCACCCCGCTAGCCGTCTTCCAAACCCTCCTGGCACTCTCTCGATCGGCTGGACACAGCGCTTCACACACCTTTCTCCTAGTGTAAACACGTTGTCCCTTCGTTCGTCCAAACACGTGCCTGCTCCTCGGTATAGTGCAAACACGTGCTTCTCGTCGGCGCAGATGATGCGGACATACGGCCTGTCCGTCGTTCCCCGCTCTCGCTCGCTCTTTGACTTTTCATCCACCTTCCCCCTCCTTATGGGGGGACACGAAGGCATTAAAAGCAGCTCGTATTTGGATCACCTTTCCGTCTCCATACAGCGATAATGACCCAGCGTTATTATACCCCAACGTTGTCCAAATACAGTGGATATCATTCCGTCGTTGGTGCAACCGTCTGTGTCCCCTCGTTACTTCAGCCACGTGCCTGCTCCGTCGATCCAATCCATCCGTTAATCGCGAGTACAAAGGCATCCCATCGAACCACGAAACGCCTAAGAAGGTAGGTGGAGGTAGAGAAGGAGAGTACGGGAGAGAAGTCCACACGAAGCAGGAAACAAGGGGAGAGAGAGGAAAAGAAGGGCGGGAGAGAGAGAGAGAGAGAGAGAAAGAAAGAGAAGGGTGAGCAGCGTCACATATCCGCGTTTTCGAAGCTGCCGATGACATTTGGATTGTCGACAGCATTTACCGACGCGACTTTTAGACTGCCTATCCTTCCACCCGCATGGAATTCCGCCTCCCCCGCTGTTTGCTTGTCCTCTATCTGTGTCTACCTGGCTACGCGGCGGTTTGATCAACAGAGGTAGTATGCGATATATATATTGTCACATTGTGAATATTGCTGTGAATAATTCAAAGAAACATTATAGAAAAAAAAAAAACAAAGATGTGTAAATGAGAGACAGAGAGGAGTGGAGAGGAGAAGGAAAAGAGTCGAAAGAGGTACAACGAACGTAACCACAAATCAACAATCCCATAAACGACGCGCGCTTCTTCTCGATCGCTCGATCGAGCAGTCAAACCATATCAATCATTAGTGAATCGACTTGATCGAAAGATCAGTCGACAATCAATCAATCAATCAATCCGTCGACGAAAACAAATCAATGCGCTGCGACTGTGCTAGGCCGTTTGTCTTGCTGCTGCTGCTGCTGCTGCTGTTGGCCCGCTGAGGAAGGGGATGCCGGTTGGGAGGTAGGACTCCTAGCGCCGCCACTACTAACGAATCTGCTGAACCTTTCCGGGAAGAGTCGGTTCTCTGCCTTCATCTCTTTGAAGACGTAGGTCTCTCTCTTGAACTCTTGCGGAACTTTCCCCTCACCATAGCACAGCGAACAGAGAGAAAACCCGACGTTTACCTCCTTGTACCGAAGGCCCACTAGGGTATATGCACAGACGGCGCACGCCAATCCGCTATGTCTGATCCGGTCGCGCTGCTCAAGCATCAACACAGTCTCCAGCAAGTCGAAGCCTTTGACCGGATCATTGAACACCTCCTTGAACTCGCGGAAGGACATCGTTCCGCCGGCAGCGCGCGCACCTCCCCTCGTCGCCGCGACCAACTCCTCTTCCTCCTCCTCCTGCTCCTGCCTCAGAAGAGACGACTCGTTCTTCGGTGGCAGGTACACGGTGCGCAGCACTTTGAAGTACTTGAACGCGTCCCGCTCGCTTATCTCTCCGGACGTCTTGTCCGACGCCCACACCAGGGCTTGAAACGCCACCCTCTTGCGCTCATCCACATCTCCGCCGCACAGCGGCGCAATCAGCGCGAAGAACAGCGCAAGATCTACCATACCGTTGCGCTTCGTCTCCAGCACACTCAGCACCCTCTCGTTCATCGCCCTCATGGCGCCCTGGAAGGTCTCCGCCGACAAGAAATGCAGCAGCTTGCGCATGATTCTCTCCACCACCGCCTTCCTCACCTTTTTGTCCGCCGGGATCCCGGGCCCGTCCTTCACCTCCGCGCGGAGCTTCGTCACGTCGAAACGGCACACGCGCGTGTGGCGCTGGAACGCGCGCACTTCCAGCGCCTCCGCCATCGTCTTCGGCGACGTCATCTTCTGGGAATAGCGCTGGAACCTGTGCAGCTCGACCACCAAAGCCTGACCACCGTACGCCAGCTCTCCGTCCCGACCAGGCGTCGCTTGCTCCGGCAGGCTCTCCAGAGCAGAGCTCAGCTGCTTGTTCTTCCTAGAAATCCTTTTCAAATGGCGTATTGCATCGTAGAGCTCAACGCGATTGGTGATCTTGAACGCATCCTTCAGCGCCAGCTTCGCCTCCTCATGCTGCTTGTCTCCGAGCAGGGCGACCGCCTTGTTCAGCATTGCGCGCCAATTCTTGGGTTCCAGTTTCAAGATCCGGTCGTAGATGCTCACGGCCTCCGCGAACTCTCCCATGTCTCTCAGCAATCCAGCGTAGTTGTACAGCGCATTCGCGTGCTCAGGGAACAACTCCAGTGCCCTCTTGAACATCCTCTTGGCCTTCTCGTCTTCTCCAAGCGCATGAAGGGTAGAGCCATAGTCACAGTGCGCGTCAGCGTAGCTCGGCCTCAGGTAGATGGCGTGTTCCAGAGCTTGCTCCGCCTTGTCCAGTTCCCCCACACCGAAAAGCGCACTTCCCAAGAGCTTCAGAGCCCGGAAATGTTGTGTGTTTAAGATCGCCGCCTCGCGGTAATGATCGCACGCGCACAACAGCATCCCCTCTGCCTCCAGCGTGATCCCAAGATTCACGTGCAGCTGCGGCATCACCGACGTGTATATCATCGGATTGGCCTTCCCCACCTCAATACCCTTCTCGTACGATTCCCGCGCCTTCCCATAATTCTTCATTCTGTACAACACGTTTCCACATCGGAAATGCGCTTTCACATTCGTCGGTTTCAACTGCGCCGCCTTCGTGAAGCTCACAAGCGCCTCCCTGAATTTTGACCTGTCTGCCAGCACTTTCCCTATCTCCATGTGCGCCTCGAATGCCTCCTCTGAGCTGGGAATCTTGTCTATCTTACTCTGTAACTCCGTCACCTCCTTCGACACCGCCGACACATTCTTGCCGCTACCTCCCTCCGGGCCAAGCTCCTCCTCAGCAGGTTCCTCCCCTGCCGACCCTGGACCACCACCTGCTCCAGCCCCTGGAGCCCTCCAATTCGCCTCATCTTCCTTCGTCAAGATTCTGTCGAGATCGCTCAGAAGCACGTGCGTGTTGGCAAAGACAATCCCGTCCGCACTCGAGGCATTAGAGAGAATACCGCTCTCGTCTCTCTCTCTCTCCGATCCCCCTCGAATAGAAGACCTGGTTGAAATGTCCGTGTAAGCGGGGAAGGGACCAGGCCTGCCGAGAGATCCAGGGGGTCTGGAGGAGGTAACAGAGGGAGGAGGAGCGAAAGGACCGCGCCTGGCGTCAGCAACGTCGAAGGCACCTGGTACACCCCCCGTGGGGGAGCGAGGACGACCTGCAGGAGCCCTCGCCGGCGGTGGAGATCTTGCCATGGGAGTGGGAGGTGCTGTCGTCACTGGGGTGATAGGTATCACGATGGATTTCTCCGTTCCAGGTCCGCCCCCTTCACTGTCTAGCGAGTAACCCAGCGCGCTGAAATCTCTATCCACATCCCCCGCGCCATCCGCGTATGTCTGCCGCAATCCCTGAATCGTCAGACCGCGAGCAGTGTCTATGTACTTAGCGTAAGTTCGGAAAACTTCCTCCAAAATCGCGTTGATCTGTTCTGCAGTAAACGTGACACGCGGATTCACTGCGATCACCAAATTGGCCATCTCCTCCCTGTCAAGGAAGCCGTTGGCATCCTTGTCGAAATTGCGGAATATCATGTCCACCTTCCGTAGGCGGAGAGGTGTAAGCAGCGGCGTCCGGAGCCCATCCCCATTCCCAACGTCCTTTCCCCCCATTCTAAACAACGCAATCTTTCCAGCAACTTCAACAACTTGCCACAGTCGTGACACAGGTTGACTACCTCTTCGCCTCCAATAATTCTCTCTCTCTCTCTCTCTCTCTCTCTCTCTCTCTCTCTCTCTCTCTCTCTCTCTGTGTGTGTGTCTGTGTGTGTGTGTGTGTGTGTGTNTCTCTGTGTGTGTGTCTGTGTGTGTGTGTGTGTGTGTGTATGCGTCGTCCGTCTACTATTGTGAGAGCACGCTAGGACGTCTGGAAAAGTAATCAGCTTCTCTCTCTCTCTCTCTCTCTCTCTCTCTCTCTCTCTCTCTCTCTCTCTCTCTCTCTCTCTCTCTCTCTCTCCAAGAGCTCGTGTGTACGATAGAAACTAAGGAGAGAGAAGATTTGTTGATAGGGAAACGAAGGGCTTCCTTCGGTGAATCGACGTTTACACGTAGAAGATTGCCTACATGAGAGCCCTTTCGAAAATCCTACCTGATGTGTGTGTTTACTATGTCAATGAACACGAAATAGTCTAATAATTAATTGGCCCAAAAGCTCCTACCAAAACCCATCCACTTCAACAAAGGGGGGGGAGAGCAGGGAGCGGGAAAGAGTTTTAAGACAAATCCGATTACCACTTCCTCGCTATACTAGCCGATGAAATCTCCCAAAGCCTCCTCTCTCTCTCTCTCTCTCTCTCTCTCTCTCTCTCTCTCTCTCTCTCTCTCCCCCCCACACACACACTAGCACATTTCCTCTTAGTTCCTTCTTACCAGCTAATTACTTAGTCCACGTGGGCGAGAGAGGGGCAATCGCTACTCTGTCTCTCGCTCGCCCACGTGCCCGTTTCCTCTCTCCTCCCCGCCTGTCCTAAGCCCCTCCCTTCCGACTTCCCTCTCTCCCACCAGCTCCCGTATGCCTCTCTTACAACCAGCTGCCGCCTTCCCTCCCGTCCTCTCTCTCTCTTCCTGCAAGTGACCCTCTGCCTCTCCGATCGGTCTCTGTCCAACCTTCCTGTCTCTTCCAGCCCGCTCTTCATACCCGGCCCCGTTGAACCTCGCGCTTCGTCAATTGACGAAGACTACCCTATGAAAAATGCGCGGGTAATGCGCCGGACATGCGCGGGGGACCGCCTCCGCGAGAACCCCGCTCCTGTTGCCACGGCTTCTACCCTGCTTTCCCGCTCCTGCACAATCGTACGCTCCTGTCCTTCTGATTAGTCCCCTACTTGATGAGAACCGTTGGATCTCTGGAATACTGGCCCGCAGACCGTGGACGTAAGGGATAATGAAGACACACGACGATTAGGACCCCCCCAGATTTGCTTGACTGGACACAGCATTTCCCCTCGCCTGCCTGCCTGCCTGTCCATTCTGTCCTGTCAGTCACTTGCCCTTCTGCTTTTCGTTGCGCTTTCCGCGCTCCATTTTCAATTGCATTTTACACTACTGGCATCAATCAAATCGACGACAAATCAAAAAATGCCATTGCCATCCCCGCCTACCGGGCACAGCAGAAGGAAAATGGACCTCGCGCCACTATTCAACATTCGACACGTATCTGGACTGGTTCGTGCAGGAGATGCATTTTGAATAATAGAACATTCGGAGTGCATTGGGACACTTTAGCAGCTCCGGATGCATTTAGAATGTTGTGCAGAAAAGCGAGGACCGAATATAATCAATCAAATCAATGCAGCCCAATCGGAGGCAGAAAGGGCGCGCCTTCATATAGAATAGAATGGACGGCTGTCATTCCCGCCCACTGTGGGGGCGACAGCGGGGTGACTGGGCAAGGACCCGCACGAGGGGACGCGAAGGGCGCCGGGCGGGGGGACCCGGCGAAGGTGGGGACTGGGTTCACATATTTATACCAGGAGGTCCAGACGGGGATAACGCGTGAGGCGAGGGAGGGCCATCGTGCGGAAATGCGGACTCCAAGCTGAACGGGCAGGCTGGCGCAGTCAAGCAGGGGAGGGAGGGAGGAGCGAACGGGTACCCAGCCTGTTCGCAGCCCGTCAAGGGTGCGTTTTCCCCCCCTGAGACATTTCCCCCCCGAGACATTTTCGCCGTCCTTCGTTATTCGCAGCCCGTCAGGAGTGCGTTTTTTCCCCGTTTGAGACATGGAGACATTTTTTTGTCGTCCTTCATTATACCGGTCGGGTCGTTTGGTCGTTGGAAGGCTCGAAAAATGCAGGAAGGTGCAGGTGTGGCACTTTGGGAGGTGGTGGCAGTTTGTCTGAAAAATGAGGGACCGGTAGCTGCCGGTGGGACCGCGCTTTGGGTTTTGGTTGGAACGGGTTTTGGTCGAAACAGAAACGGTGGCAAAGCAGGGGCAAATGGAAAGGGTGCACGCAGGGCCGGGGGCAGGGGCTGAGAAGTCCGACGAAAGTGCGCAGGCTTGGGCAGTGGTTGAAACGACACTTCCGTCCGATGAAAGTGCTCAGGCTTGGGCAGTGGATGAAACAACACTTCGGACTAGCTCTCTCTCTCTCTCTCTCTCTCTCTCTCTCTCTCTCTCTCTCTCTCTCTCTCTCTCTC